CACACACACACACACACACACACACACACACACACACACACACACACACACTTTTTGAAAACGAATGAATGTGCCTAACAACATCCACCTCCGCCTGTTTTTGTGTTTTCACCCCTGCACACGTGCACGCTGCTTTCAGAGCCAATCACGCCTGTCAATCACCTGCACTGTTATAAAAAGCTGCAGCAGGTGAGAYGAGACCCCAGCTCAGACCAAACCTTTCCACCTGCTGCCCACAGATGATGTTTTATCATAGTTTTTAAAATAAACATAAAAAAACGAGGATTCGCTGCACGTTCTGCACATCACCTGCAAACAGCCGAAGTGCTCTGACTGAAGTGTGCATGTGATCTCATTAACATCCACACTTCAGTCCAACCAGTTCCTCTTAGATGGTCCTGGATCCAGACTAAAGTCTAGAGATGATCTCAGCATTCAGACTGCTGAGACTTTTAAATCTCTGCTGAAAACTCACTTTTACTCCCTGGCCTTTCATTCTGGTAGAGTGAGACTCTTTTAATGATAATATTTTAATGTTTTTCTGTATTTTAAATTGATTTTATTGTCTATATTTATGTGTTGCTCATGTTTTATTCATTTGGCTGAATTGTGAAGCACTTTGGTCAACTTCTGTTGTTTTTATGTGATGTATAAATAAAACTTACATCGACGTTAACAGCTGAAACAGCGTCAGAGCCATGTTAAAKAAAYGGCTATTTGTAAAGCAGGGCTGCAGKTCWAAGTTTATAACAAAGACCTCACATGTTAGTGCTTGGAGGAAGTTGTTTTTTAATAGGGGCAAATACACATTTCTCTCTTCTTTTTTCCCCTTTTCATTCTATAATTGATCAACTTTGATTTATTAATGGTCTTTGTTGTTTCTAAGAATTAAATAAATAAATACTCTCAGCTGCTACTATCAGTTTACTTCTGCAGGCGCAGAAACCCCAGCTGTAAATGACTCTTCTGTTCCCATGGAAGTCAGGGACTGAAATGACAGTAAAYTATTTTTAAAACAGCATGAGTTTAATCAGGGGGTCCTTGGAAATTTTACACTCTTGTAAGGGTCCCCAGACCCAAAATGTTTGAGAACTCCTTCTGCTTGACCTAAAGAGTACTCACCAAGTGTTTACTGTAGGTAAAAGTCTGTTTAACAGTCTGTTAAAATACACCTGAATGCAGGAAATGTCATCTACTTCATTCAGACCCCCCACCAGAGTAATTCTACTCAGTGTTTCCTCCTACATTAAATACCATACAGCCCAGTTACAGCTAACAGTTACCAGCTAACAGCTACTAGCTAACAGCTAAGAGTGACCAGCTAACAGGTTAAGGTTCCCAAACAGAACCATACATTCTGACAGCATTTGTGTAGAATTACAGTGTGTAAAATAAGTATTGAACACGTCACCATTTTTCTCAGTAAATATATTAGTAGAGGTGCTAATGACATGAAATTTTCACCAGATGTTGGTAACAACCCAAGTGATCCATACATACAAAGAAATCAAACCATAAATGTCCAGAAATGAAG